AAAACAGTACTTCGTGACGGTTCATTGTCATAACAGCCTTTTGCGATCAAAGCGATCAAACTGGTAATGGCCTTTTTGGGCGTCGGGTTGCCGAACAAAGCCAAGTAACGGTTTTGCTGAGAGAACGCTGGGACATTGGCTTGTACACTTGCAAAAGGCCACTATTATTATTGTAAGTTGGGTCGCAAGGTAGATCGCACGAGACCCGTGTTGATGATGAATCAGCAACGTGCTGCGACAAAAGTCTTGCCCAATCAGCTCGGCAATTGCAACGAAGAAAGCTGGATCTAGCTCAAAAACCACGCTACATTGTACGAATATGCTAGATGCGGTTGCGATTGTGACGCCAAACTGCCAAATCTTGCCCAAAAAGTTATTAGGCCAGAACTGGTCAAAACAAATCGGCGGGAAAACAATTTTGTACAAGGCCCAGATACGATCAGACCAACATCTGCTGCCTGGGCCCAGTGCCACAACAGCCTTGTTGACACACCGGCTGGTGCCTCGCCCAAACAGCACAATTAGTTTTCCGGCGGATCGTGAAACCCAAAAATGAACACAGCGCTGGAACTGAGTCGCACGAGATGCCCGTGTGGATCGAAACCTCGACAGCGAGATTGGTGCTGTGAAAACTTGCCCGACCAATTGGGCAATTGCTGGCTCTAACTACTGAATGTCATCACTTGGGGAAAAAACCTGGTTACATAGCCTGACGAATCTGCTGGGTGCGGTTGCGACTGTGAAGCCCAACGACCCAGTGTTGTCCCAAGCAATGATCCAGACAATTCGGCAGGAACATTAAATGATACAAAACCCTGAATACTATCAGACCATCATCTGGTGCCTGGGCTCACAGCAGCCTTAATGGCACAGTGACCGGTCAAGCCGGTGATTGCTGGAGGGGGTCGACAACGGTAAGGTTGTCATGATGGTACTCTTGCCAAGCTGCAAGAGCGCGGCGCCCTGGAGCGGGCACACACAAAACCAATACTCTTTGTGCAAGACAAGCGAAGGTATCCTCGAGAAGCCTGGGCGCGCCGGCCGCGAAGTCTTCAATCTGAGGCCCGCCCGCCTCATTGCCGTCTAGCCCGTGCACGGACACCTGGATGCGCTGCAGCTCGGCGACCCGTGCACGGACACCTGGATGCGCTGCAGCTCGGCGACCATCATGGAAGCGAACACGGATGCAGTCGCGAAGGTCCGCTCATTCGCCAGCGGTGGGTCGGCAATTGCTTGGACATGTAAGAACAGTCCTAAGAATAGAAGGGAGTACCTGGGGCAAACCTCGCAGCCATTGGGCGAACATGGCTTGAGCCAACATGGCTACACATCTTAAAATCGATCCACAACGATCCACGTTGACCGTGTGTTGGCATAAGGGCCAGGGTCGGAATGGGACTCGAGATGGGGTGACAAACCGCACCGTCATCAGGCAAAGAACTGGGACGAGAGTCCGGAGAGGGCAAAATCGACAGCGGGGATCGGACTGGGAAAAAAGGCTCCAATGTCAAGGGATGAGAGACTTCCCTCGGGCATCTGCCGGTGCGGTCTCTTACTTTGTGCGACTGCTCTAGACATTGATCCTGCTCCTACTCAAACATGGTCCTCCTTCGTTGCCTTTACCTTCTAGATAATCAGACGTGCTGGTAAGACCGTCCTGGCGTTTCGCACAAGACTTCCTTGCAATAGTTACGCGGATGCGCTTTTCAACATGTAGCTCTCGTCCCGGCGCTGAATACATTCGATTCGAAAACCTGCAACATGTAACAAGGCATGGGAGATTTTCGTTTCCAGAATTCACACATCGCCTTAGAACCGCGCGCATTTGTTCTAACTTTTGCAACATTTGCAGGGGTGGAAACGCCAAGTTCTTCTCAAGATCTGTCTCTCGCCTTAGCGCCGCGCGCATTCGTCCGACAGGTCTGCATCGATGATGACAGTGATGGAGAACGACTCTTTTTCTCAATATGGGTCTCTCGCATTAGCGCCGCGGTCGTGCCGCTTACACATTTGTAGCAGCTACAAGGATGGAGTCAATTTTTCACACAGGGGCTGTCGCTTGAGACTCCTTTGAATTTAACCTGGAGCTGAACCAGATTATGCAACAGCTGCACGGATGGAAGGCGATTATTTTTCAACATGTGGCGTTCGCTTGAAGCTTCTTCGAAATGTGTAGCCATCAACGCAACATTATATAACAATTGCGAATGGGGCACGCCTCTGTGACGCGCAACGAAGCTACGCAGGCCTGGGCCTTGCGCGTCGGGTGATTGGGTCTTGCGGGTATGGGTGTGGGCCTCGCCCGCAAACGCATCTCACCCAAGCTTGCGGATTCGATTGCCCGCGGGGGGGTTAACTCGCATGACGGCCACGGCGGTGTGATACTGTCTCGTCATAAGACTACTAACACATCACACGATAACCAGACAACAACGTGTGCGCAATCGATAGCGGGCGATTGTCGGAAACAACTATCATACGCACGATGCCGCCGTCACGAAATCTAGGCGAACCCAATTCTTCCTTGATGACGTGTGCTGCAACACGCACGTGGGTGTTCCCGCGTGCTGTGACCATTACAAATCCCACCAGCCCTTTGGGCGTGAGTGGTTTAGATGGGCGTGAGTGGTTTAGAGAGCCCGCTCTGTTCTCAACCCCCCTTCTTCCCCTTCGGGGAAGGGTTTACCCCTCCCCCTCCCCCCTCCCCCTGGGCCTGGAGAGGGCGCCCCGCGGGTCGTTGGAGGGGTCTTTTTCGACTCTTGGGGGTGCTAAAATTCGACACCCCTCACGAGGATTCTGGCCCCGACGGGGGGAGGCAGAAAAGTGCTCGCCCCATCTGTGATCGATCGCCCGACAGATGGCCCCAAGATTCCTCCCAGACCCCTCCCAGAGAGTCCCAAGAGGCCCCAAGAGGCCTCCAAGAGGCCCCCAAGATGCCCCCAAGAGGCGCCCAAGAGGCCCCAAGAGGCTCCCCCGAGGCACCCAAGACGCTCCTGGAAGCCCCTGGAGCCGCCGAGAGGCCCCCAAGACGCCCCAAACGGCCTCCAAGAGGCTCCCAAGAGGCCCGAAGAGGCTCCCCCAAGGCACCCAAGACGCTCCTAGAAGCCCCTGGGGCCGCCAAGAGGCCCCGAAGACGCCACAAAAGGCCTCCAAGAGGCTCCCAAAACGACTCACACCACGACGAGGGCCCCGAACGACTCACACCACGAGGAGCCCGAACGAGTCACACCAGGAGGAGGGGCCCGAACGACTCACACGACGACGAGGGGCCCGAACAACTCACACCACGAGAAGCCCGAACGACTCACACCAGGACGAAGAGCCCGAACGACTCACATCACGAAGAGCCCGAACGACTCACACCAGGAAGAAGGGCCCGAACGACTCACACCAGGACGAGAAACCCCAAACGACTCAAACCACGAGGAGCGCTTTCTCTCCCTCCTCCTCCGCCTCGTCCTTCTCCCGCTCCCCCCACAAGGAGGATGTACAAGGAGGCGGGAGGAAGGAGGAACAGGGGAGACATGCGGGGCCAAGCGGACACAAGCCTGAAAAACACGACTGTCGGCATGCTTCGCAAGAGTTGCTGTTGTGAGACGGGCTTGTGGGGATACGCGAAGCGTAAAGAATTTCAAACTCACCTACTTCACCTCCCCAGACCTCTGACGTCATGATTTTTCACCACGTGCACCCCTGGATGTCTGACCCCTTTTCCTTGGACGGTTTCTCATCCTGATATGTTTATGGTCCCAGGTTGCGGAAACCGCCTCCGAGCGCCGAATAGAACAAATAGACAATCGGTATGGATTTTTCCCACAAGGCGATCATGCCCTGGCCCCCCATCGCCCTCATCCGCCACATTCACGAATCAAACTTCTTGCACACCCCCGTGCGTTCGTTAAGGGCTCAACGTTTTCTGCTGTCCGTCGACCTGCGTTGGAGCTGCCATTATCCTACATGTGCACCTGGATGTTTCTGGATCTACCATCACCAGCCTGGGCTAAGACATAGGACTGCGTAACATGTTCCCCGATCCACCTGACTTGATCCCAACAGATTAGCGAGACAAGTGTCGGCAAGGCCTCAGGGTCAGAGGAGGAACAGTTGGGACAACGGCGGCTCCCGCCCAACTCAAATCCACTCAAAATCGGTCCCCAGACATCTCCTGGGGTGTATCCTTCAGGAAGGGGAAAAACACACAGACACAATTTATCGTCGACTCCCAGGAAAATATGGGAAACTATGGGAATTTGGGGGGAAGACGAAGACCCAACAAATATAGGAAACTATGGGGAACCCTGTTATTTGTGTCAATTTATTTGTGTGTCCCAAGGCCTCTTCAATCCTGACCCTCTTTTCGACGCGGAACCAACCGTGGCTGCGAGACGTCCCGGAAGCTCGACACGGGCGAACAACAACGCCCGGGAAGGCCGCCGTTGTCTCTCGCCCTGGCACACGCCTCTGCTGGGGGCAGCCCTCCGTGCATATCGCCACCCCGTACCTGCTTCGGCGACTCCAGAGGGTGTGGCTTGCAACGGGTGTGGTCTGCAACCGGCACCCTGGAGAACATCCTGGGGGGCACCCTGGGGGGCGCGCGGGGACCTCGATGGAGCTCTCCCGCGCCCCGAGGAGGCCCGACGAGGACACTGTCTCGTGCCCCCCAGGCCCCAGCGGTGCCGATCGCACACCGCACCTGGGCGTAAAACAATACCCTTTGTGGTCGCCGCCTCCCGTGCACCCGCCTCGATCTCCTCCTCGGGAGGGGCCCCGATTTTCCGGCGCGCCAGTCGAGCCGCCACGCGCCGAGCTTGCACGGGAGGGGTGGGAGGGGAGGCGCGGGGAGCGGGAGGCGAGGGATCGAGGACCATCGAGGAGGAGGATGGTCGGACGATCCTCGACTCTCGATTGGCCACGTGCGGGGAAGCGGGTGGGCAAGAAACGGCGGCTCGAACGCAGCCTCTTCTGGATTCAGTGTGATGGCACGTGTGCTATGCCAGCGGCGACGTGAGGAAGACATGACGCCTCAACTGCAGCCTCTTCTGGCTTCGCTGGGTCATACGTGGGAGGAGGGAGGGAGATACGCTTGAAACGTGGCCACAATGATGCACAAGTCAACAACATGAGCACCGATGTCGAAGGTCCAAGACCCGTGGAGACACCGAAACCGAAGAGCGCGCCGAGGAGGAGATCCCAAACACAAAGAACATAAGTGTGCCTCTCCGAAGCTAGGTCCCTCGTACCAGCTGTGAGGCGAAGGGAAGATGAAGATAAACCCAGATTTTGGTACATCGGCAATCTCTGAAAGCCGGCTGGCCTGGAGGATGTACCGGATGCCGCAGTCGTTTCAGAGCGCTCTGGAACGTTCTGGAGCGATGCATCTTCATTCTAGGCCTGCCTGCAGGAGGGATGGATGTTCCAAGATCGAGGGATGAGAGATCTCCCTCGGGCATCTGCCAGCAGAGCGGTCTCTTACTTTGCGTGACCACTGTAGACCTTGATCGTCCTTCGCTGCGTTTCCCTCCTGGATAATCACACGTGTCGGCAGGACCGTCTGGGCGTTTCGCATGAGACTTTCTCGCAACAGCGGCACGGAGGGGGGGAAGGCTTTTCATCATCTAGCTCTCTCCTCAGCGCCGCCAACATTCGGCTAACAACTTGCAACCTTTACACGACAGACTGACTTTCCGTCCCCAAAATTCCTATATCGCCTGAGCGCCGCGCGCATTCGCCTTAGCTTTTCGCGCTGGTTACAGGATTGGAGGGGTGGAGTCCTCGTCAAAATGGGTCTCTCGCCTTAGCACCGCGCACATTCGTCTGACAGGTCTGCAACACTTACAATGTAGTCGAGATCAGTCCACAAGAAACCCTCCACAAGAAACCCAACCCTGAGACCCCAGGACGTCCCATTGATGTTTGGCGTGGGAACCTCACCTTCCCATGGCAAAACCATCGAAACCCAAGAAACGCAGGGCACCCTGGATGTAAGGAGGGTGTTTCTTTGCATGGGTCTCCACTGTATGCCTAGAGATGCACCCAAGAGCTCACCAAGAGCGCACTGTTCGACCACCGGGGCACACATTGGGCCCCCTCCTCCTCCTCCTCCTCCTCCTCCTCCTCCTCCTGACATGGGTCTCAGTGTATAGCAATGATGGAGAGCGATTCCTCCTCCTCCTCCTCCTCCTCCTCCTCCTCCTCCTCCTCCCTCCTCCTCCTCCTCCTCCTCCTCCTCCGCCTCCTCCTCCTCCTCCTCCTTCTCCCCTCCTCCTTTTCCTCCTCCTCCTTCCTTTCCGACGTTGCGCGGATCTTATGCGTCTGACTGCTTTGA